CCCTTTTGTGCAGCCTGCTGCCTGTGGAATATGAGTGGGTGCTCAGGAGCAATTTAACTATTAAGTCCAGTGAGTGACTTCACATGTAAGCTTTGTGCACACAATCTAATGTCTCTGCTTGATTTAAGCTGCAGTTAGGTTTTAATGTCCTTTATCCACTCTCAGACTCTGTTGTGTGCAATCACTATACAGTCATTACACAATCGCTCTGGGTACACTTTGTACACAATAATATTTTCAGTAGACATCTCACAAACCCAGATCATTCCAGATGATTCCAGCAAAACCTGATTAAGCAACATTAAAGGTGAAATTTCACAGCTTTTCCTAAATTACACCTTCACACGCCGATGTTACACCATACCGTCATTATATCCATTAGGGAACCTTAATCCGTCTCTCTAGGGCAGGCGTTCTAGTGATTATAGGATGCTAAGGTGTCATTTTTTTTTCTGGATCAGGATAAAAATGTATCTCAAATACCTGACTGGAGGACATCAATTATAAAGGGGTTTCAGAGAGTTAATTGTGGAACATTTTCCATTAGCTTTAAAGTTGAACTCCATACTAAGCAAATATTGTCTACACAGAAGAGTCATATACAGTAGGGATGCACCGATATATATCGGTCGCCGAAACATATCAGCCAAATGGCACTTTTGGCTAAAGTGGATGCGGGTGGGCGTCTTCAGACGTCTTCCTTCATGCCCGTGCCCCCACGTGCGCGCCAGGGGGCGCGCGCGAGCGGGAAACTGCCAGGATTTTAAACGGCCTGCGATGGCCGTTTACATACAAGCGGTCCGTAAAGACGCCCGATCGCTTGTATGATGCAATTCAGGGTGACCCCCTCTTACCTCTTCTCGCCGCCGCCGTCACTGCGATCCCTGGCGTCATTTATCCCGGGCGATGTGGCAGCTCTGTGACTGAGAACGGAGGGAGTTCAGTACAGATCTCCCTCCGCTCTCCTCCCGGTCTCTGAATGCAGGAAGTGATGTATGCAGGAAGTGATGTGTGGTGGTGCATTCAGAACCTACACTTCTGCATTCCCCTGTCACTCTCCGGTACAGAAACCGGAGAGAAGCTGATGAAGCACATCTGTGCTTCATCAGCTTCTCTGGGGGGTCCCTAGGTGACATTAGGGGTCTTAGAGACCCCTGATGTCTCCATAAAGCAGACCTGTCACTGTAATTGGTTATTACATAGGGGACTTCTTAGCACCCTATGTGATAACAATAAAGTTAAGTGTAAAAAACAAAGTTTAAAAAAAAAATGCTCACAAAATAAATAAAATGTACACACACACAAATAAAAGAAAAACCCACAAAAGTTTTTGAAAGTCCCCCACCCCCACATATAAATGCGCAAAAATGCGTTAGGTGTGCCTACAAGCAAAAACGACGATTGCGCCCATTACGCTGCGCATGTTACATATCGCCGTGAACGTTGCAATAAAAAGCAATAATTTTAGGCCCATCGATCACTGATAACACTAAACTGATGAGCGCTAAACTCTTTTAAAGCAACGCCTATGGCCAATTTTGGCTATGATAGTTTTTGCGATTTCGCGGGCGCGCGCAATTTTAAGGCTTGACATGTTTGGTGTCTATTTACCCGATGTGACCCCGTCTTTTATATTTTACCAAAAAATTGGGTAAAAATAAATGTTTCCTATAATAATAAAGGGAAAAAATAAAACCCCCAGTGGTGATTAAATACCACCAAAAGAAAGCTCTATCTGTCCCCAAAAAATGGTATAACATTCGTTTGAGTACAGCGTTGCATGACGGAATAAACGTCAGTTGAAGTACCGCAGCGCTGAATACTGAAAAATTGCCTGGACAGGAAGGGGGTATAAACACCCCAGTCAGCAAGTGGTTACATTTAAATGTATCCCCCCTCCCATCTGGCATAATCCATTCATTTCCAGTGCAGGGGTGGAGCGTCTTCAACGTGCCAGAAATCAGTTTTTTGTCCTCACAGCTTTTTTTACCCCTAAACTTCACGTTACAACATCCCAATCAATAATGTGATCTTTGCGTTGATTGATGGAAGTTTGAATGAAATTCTGCAGAATAATAGTCAGCTGGGTGGCGAAATATCGTTCTTCTGCCAAGCCTGATTGCAGTTCATGGCCAGCGCTGGGGAAAGCAAGGTTACAGTGGAACACGGCATGTGGCACAAACCACCCTAAGCCCACACCCTCTGCCTGCGGCTCTGTACTCCTCCACCTGTCTCATTAATTATACATGTTTCTCAGAAATAAAAGATGAAAGATGTTCTATGTATTCGTTAGTTCCAGATTACACAACGGCTTTGAAGTCTCTATGCACATCGCCGGGTGCATTGTTTTCCCTCATCTAATAAACATTTTCGTTTTTTTCGATTTCCATAGAAAAGATGAGAGATAAAGACATTAGTGTGGAATAATTACAGATGGGAAGCCTATAGCATGGACATCATATATAATATATCAGGTTTATCATCTGCAGGATACTGAAGGGTACCTGTCACCCGGAAGGAGCGCACACAGAGGAAAACCATCCTTATTGTAAATGACTGTTCAGTCTACTAGTTCAAAGGAAGCGGGGGCAACAACAGCTCTATATACAGTGCATCTGCTATAAAATATGAGTATTATATGTTCCAGAGGAGCAGCTTACAGCCCAAATTAACTTTTAGGTTATATCCGTTAAGCAGATTGGGGGGAATTTATCAAAACTGGAGCAGACAAAATCTGGTGCAGATTTGCACTGCAACCAATCAGCTTCTCTGTCACATTTTCAAATCTTACCTGAGCAAACTGAAGAGAGATGCTGATTGGTTGCCATGGGCAACTGCTCCAGTTTTGATAAATGCCCCCCATTCCATATGCATCAGAACAAAAGGTGTGCAAAGTCTCTGTGTGGAAGCAGTGGTCTCTCTGCAGAGGTCTGAAACTTCACCTGGTGAGTCAGAACTAGAGCTTTCCAGTCAGTGGGTAGCTGATTGCAGAATAACATGTCTGATTCAACAAGGGGGGTGCCGGACCTCTGCAGAGGGGCCACTGCTTCCACATAAGAAGCAAGGGTCTAATTTTTTGGCATGAAGGCGGGGGATGGGAATTTATACCTAGACTGGGGCTGCTTTCTACAGAAAATAAACTGTTAAGCTGGCCATACACCTATAGATTCTCTGCAGATTGTCTGTGGTCAGATGGAAAAAGGGCAACAGATTCCTTCATCTACGCTAAACTGTGTGGATGGAGGAACCTCCCACTGGGCCAAGCTTCAGTATGTTGCTAGTCAGCACCGCTGGCTCTCATACTACCTGAACAATCTGATTGGATGTCGGCATTGTTCAGGTATTTTGAGAGCCAGCGGGGCCGACTAGCAAGATACTGAAGCTTGGCCCAGCGGGAGGTTCCTCCATCCACACAGTTTAGCGTAGATGGAGGAATCTGTTGCACTTTTTCCATCTGACCATAGACAATCTGCAGATAATCTATAGGTGTGTGGCCAGCTTTAGACTTTGCACACCTTCTGTTTGCAGAACTATCAGACTGACGCAGCAGGGGGAGTTTCATACCTCTGCAGAGAGACCACTGCTTTCATGTAAGGAGCAGGAATCCTTTTTGTATGGCATGCTGGCAGAGGGTAGGCTTTTTTACTCAGACTGTTGCTTCTTTTTAGCAGAAAATGAACAGTAAGACTGCACACCTTTTGTTTGCAGAACTATAGGCCTGACTCAGCAGGGGGAATGTCGGATCAGAGAAACCAATGCTTCCACACAAAGAGCAAGGGTCCTTCTTACAGCATGTTGGCAGGGGGCAGTTTATTTACCTTTTGTGTTTATGCACCTAGAGTTTCAACTGAAAGTTTATTTGGGATTTAAAGCTGAAGGCCGGGCAAACAGCTGGATACAGAGATGAAATACATATAAGGGAGCTGGTATAGTTACATATAGTTACATAGTAGGTGAGGTTGAATAAAGACACAGGTCCATCAGGTTCAACCTATGTAATGTGTGTGTGTGTGTGTGTGTGTGTGTGTGTGTATGATACTTGACAAATTATTTTTTTTATTTCTATTGACCCAGTCATGAGATTTTCACAGCTCTGCCACACAACATAGCCAGGATGACACCATTTTCTCTGTTGTAGACTGAAGAGATACAATGGTGTCTTCTTGCCACCCCACTTCTGCTGAATGGAAAGTGAATGAGCAGCCACAGACGGATGAGGTCATCCCTCTGCTCACTTCTCCTGTCAGGACATTTGCATACAGCACACCTGAACAACTCCAAGCCCTGCAGCCCCCTCTTCCTGTCTAAATCCTGCTGTACATGGGATTAAAAGAGTCTGACACCAAGGGGGCTATTCACAAAGCTGCCGAAGGCAGCCGAGTGAATAACCCAGCCGAAGTGAAGTGAACCAAACTATGTTTAAAAAAAAACAGGCGCCGGCTAGAGTCTTCTAGCAGGTCCCGGCCAATGAATAACAACTGGGCGAAGCTGGTGACGTCATGGCCGGCTTCGCCCAGTTGTTATTGATTAATGACAGTTCAGCATCCCCAGGTCATTTGGGTAGCTGATCTGTCATAATAAACTGGGCGGAGCCAGCTGTGAGATCACAGCTGTCTCCCCCCGGCTGTCATTTGCGGTGCGAAAGGCTGACCTTCGGCAGGCCGTTCGCCCCGCTTCGCCTGACACTTCGGTCTCAGTCAAGCTGAAGCAAATACCTTTGGCTCGGCTGAGCCGCTCGGCCGAGCCGCTCGGCCGCCTTCGGCTCCTGTATGGGCTATAGTGAATAGCCCGTACAGCAGCCCCTCAGTTCAACTGAACCGAAGGGCTCCGGCGGCTGCGAAGAGAGCCGAAGGATCAGCCGAAGCTGCTGCTGGATCCTTCGGCTCTTTTGCGAAAAGCCCCCCAAGTCCGAGTCCTGGAATTCCCAGGTAACATCTCATACATTTGGTATTGTATAGTGTAGCAGATATCACTCATACCTATGTTAGTTTTGCACCCACCTGTATGTCCCGGACAAGACACATCTCCAGTCCGATATGATGAACTTTTCATGGATCTGACCAAAGAATTTCTTGCCTGATTTTGCACAGTAGACATCACCAGTCACGCTCCTGACGGATATATTCTGGAAATGCCAACATTAGTCAATTAGAGGGAATGTATAAACTTTCCAGTTTGTTTTACTGATACATGTAAATAAAAGTGGTCAGTAACATGTCAATCATCTTCTGTGTCCAGTTTTAAAAATGTAGCTTCTATGTAAAGTCATTGATTCTATGTCATATTTGTATTCATTACTGGTATTATTTCTTGCTGTTAGGTAGTATATACATTGCTTGTGTTTTACTGCTTCCTCTCAGATTGTAAGTCTATGAGTCAGCTGACTGGTTGAAAACAATGCAATGCTTTCCCTTTAATAAGCCTATAAACCCAATAATGTGCTCAGCAAATAAAAGCATCCATAGCTTATTGTTTATAATCAAATGTCAGAGTGTCCGCAGAATCTGGGGTAATTGTCAGATTTAACATAATGACAGACTTCCCATCTGTCACTGCCCCTGTGGCAGAAAAATGCCCAACATTGTTATCAGCTTGCTCAGTTTTCTTCTGCTTGGCTATATTAGCACCAGTGGCGTAACAATCACCATAGCGACCCAGGCGGTCGCTATGGGGGGCGGGGCACAGGGGGGCCCGGCCAGGACATTCCTGATGCCCTGCGGGCCGCCATGGCATCTCGCGCTGCTGGCTGTCACTGGCGGCTGTGAAGAGGAACGTGCCGCTGTACAGATCACTGTCAGTGATCTGTGCAGTGGTGCTTTCCTCTCCACAGCCGCTGCTGAGTCAGTGAGAGCCAGCAGCAGCGGTGGAGTAGGCTGAACCCGGCAGTGGAGGAGGAGGCGGCCCCGGGGTTGCCATCAGAGGAGGAGGCAGGGCCCAACGACGGGGGAGGGGGGCGGGCCCGGTGACGGAGAGGAGGCGGGGCTCATCACCGACGGTGGAGGAAGATGGGACCGGACAGGTAAGGAGTGTGACTAGCTCATCTGAGGGTGACCCTGCAAAGCCCACCTTAGAGAGTCTATGGTGGGCTCTGCAGGGTCATCCTCAAGTGGGCTGTGTGGGATCTCAATTGGGCTCTGCAAGAGGTGTAACTAGAGATCAAAGGGGCCCCATACAAAATTTGGCTATGGGGCCCTGTGATTTCTAGTTACGCCGCTGATTAGCACCCCTCTTTTCATCTCCATAACATGGAGGGGGGGTGTTCTGTAGTCCAGCAGGGAGAACTCAGACAGGGCTAATAACACTGCTTTGGATTTCAGAGCATCAGACGCAGTGTCATCACCTCAAACAGGAAGTTAGGGGCTCAATGGATTTCCGTCAGATCACTAGATATTTTTCTGTTCTTGCAGAACTTGCTGTACTTTTTTAAAGTGACAAAACATGGGGAAATGTATATATACAGGTGAAACTCGAATAATTAGAATATCGTGCAAAAGTAATTGCAGTAAGTGCTGCAAAAGGGGCCCAAACCAAGTACTGAGTACATATGCATGCTTGTACTTTTCAGAGGTCCGATATTGTTCTATGTACAATCCTTGTTTTATTGATTGCATGTAATAATCGACTTTTTTGAGGTTGTGGATTTGGGGTTCTTGGGGTTTTCATGAGCTGTAAGCCATAATCATCACAATTATGACAAATCACGGCTTGAACTATCTTGCATTGCATGTAATGAGTCTCTCTCATATATTAGTTTCACCTTTTAAGTTGCATTAGTGAAATAAATGAACTTTGCACGATATTTTTATTATTCGAGTTTCACCTGTATAATAGTAAATAAACAGTCATCTTAGAGAGGAGGTGGGGGCTCAGTGCTGGTCCCTACAGTAATGTCCATATATGGAACTTCAAACTCTGATGGAACTACAGCCAATATTAACACAAATAAAAAGGGTGCTTTTAACCCCTTCGCGACTTTCTCACCAGGGCTCTGTGGGGTCTCACCATCCTGGTTAAACCCGACAGCCCGGTGAGACCCCACAGGCCTGAGTGGGGCCTCATGTTTAGGTTTCGCCTAAGGCCTCGCAAACTCTAGAGCCGCCTCTGACCAAGAGTTTTTTTTCTGAAGTATCATTAGCACAGGCATTGTGCAACACAAGTGATAATATTTTTTTCACATTTTAGGAATATATTTTGAGTTTGTTGAAGCGCAGTGCTATTTTTCTCTTTTCATATTCCAACAAATATATAAAAAGAGTACCCCTGGCCATTTTATGGTGCTTTAAATAAAGAGGGGATATTTATTGACCTTGAGAAACATCAAAGTAAGTGCCAACCTGACCATTTTATAAGGCAAACATTGGTTAGTGTGATAAAAGCGGTTAGTTTATTGCATAAGTGACAACTACTGTCACATTTTCATTAAACTATAAAACTTGTCATGTTAGACAAGTTTAATTATACCTTTTACTACATGTATAATGCCGTACATTCAGCAAGACAAGCGAGGACGCCTGTATATCAAATTGCAGTTTTCCCCGTGCCTCTAAAATAGAGCTTGTATAATTTATATGTACGTAATAAGCTATTGAACTTATTCACACTATCATAATCTCACTGTACCTCATAACCTCCTTAACCCACGCAAAACTTAACAGTGAGTTTTGGATGGGCACTGACGGGTTAACCACTTGCCAGCTTCTTGTAATAATTTAATAATTTCTGACATTCTGCTCTATGCAGCAACTTTACTGAGAGAGTTTGCCTAGATATGTCCCCCTGCAGCCCAGAATCCTTCGTTGGTTCCTATGGAGAGTTCAGCAGTGAAAGTATGGCCACATTGCTTGGTATATTGTTCCTGTAAGACAATGGGCAGTAGGTGGGTGGAATGAATCTCAGGGGTATCATTTTACTGCCGTGGTACCTGAATCTTATAATAAACTGATGGATGACTGAACCTAATGGTGTGGACTCCAAAGCTGAGTTATCAGTTTTATATAATATAAGCTTTAATTACGTGATGTAAAATGCTTCTGCTCTGTGAATTTTTACTCGACTACTTTACTTGTGACAAGCAATGGATGTACTGCTACAGCATCTAAAGTGGCTGTAAAGTCAAAGTGAAAGGTGGCCTTCAATGAGCTGCCTCCTTCAATTTCTATACTATTAAGGGGTTTATCTATGAAGAACAGACAATTATGGACACCGGCACTCCAGTAGCAGATAGACTAACGTCTATTTAATGACGTCCGTGCAAAAACATACTTATTGCAACGTTTCGGGGTCACACAGGATCCCCTTCATCTGATGATCGATCTACCAAATATAACGGATAGCAGGAATTTGTTTGGCTAAAGCCGAACTCCCTCCCCACCGCTGCATTTTGTTTTTTCATTTTCAGAATACATCCCTATTTTCCAGCTGTCTTCTCTTGTGTCATGTGATGCACAGGGTCATCTTCCACCTCTTTTCCTTGAAGCGGTGGTCCAACTTCCTGCTGTACAGAACTGCATTGACATAATGACATGTAAACATCCTTCTATGCAGGTTCCATGACACCCTGGGCTACAAGAAATGGAGTGAAGGACAAAAAACAGCAACAGCGGCAAGAGGGAGCAAGGAGTCTTTGGGGACAGGCCTGGAGAAAGCTGCCTATTTTGTTTTTTCTTAAAACCTGCTAGCCAAGAGATTTTTGCTTTTTTTATTTACAGTGGAGTTGAGCTTAATAAACTTGCGAAAGGACATCTCTTGAAGGGAATAATAGCAGACACCTGTAAGAATCTGAAAGTGCCACTTCCTTTTTGTTCAGACAAATATTTAGTGAAAGTCATAGAAAGTAATTCTGCCAAAAAGAAAATGAAAACCTTCTTTGAAATACCCATGAGTAGGTCTAGTTTCTGATTTTAAGTGCACAAAATTATTTATTAGCGCCTACCTGCTTCTAAAGTGTGTTTGAACTTAGGTACGGGCTCCTATGTTGACTTGTGGTATTGTTTTACAGTATTTGTTATAGAAATAGAGCAGAGCACATTTCTTTGCAGTCCTAAATGACTGCAATTACAGATCAATTTACAAAAAAACAGATTTGAGCGCAAAGCCGACATAGTAAAAAGGACCTTGCTGCTTTTCTTTTAGAGGATCTCATTTTCAATCAAAAATTGTAAGATAGCGCAATTAAGGTAATTTATGTTCTGAATATACAGCAGTATGACATTCTGCAGAAAATGACAGCACCATAATGACATTTAAATCAATCCAAAATATGGATAGATTTATCAGCTCTGGCTCATTAAAACCAGTTTGTTGGAGAGCATGCTTCTCACTACCCATGCTAAAAACATATCTTTGAAAATGATGCTATTGGATCTCTAGGCTTAGTAAATATATATTCATTAGAATTCAGTTATATCTTCACTTCCTAACAGGTACTGTTTCCAGAAGAGTTACAGTACTAATATTCTGTTATCTATACAGGCTTGCTGGTAAGCAATCCTCTGTCTTCTGGGAAGTATATGAAGGGATGGAGATGACAGTAATAATCAGCTTACTGATGCACTTTCTAAGCTGTGCCCAAAAAGACAAGCAAAGGGCAATTGAACAATGAGCAGCAGTGGCGTAACAATCGCCACAGCGACCCAGGCCGCGTGGGCCGCCTGGGTTGCTGTGGCATATCAGGCTGCTGGCTGTCACTGGCGGCTGTGAAGAGGAACGTGCCGCTGTACAGATCACTGTCAGTGATCTGTGCAGTGGTGCTTTCCTCTCCACAGCCGCTGCTGAGTCAGTGAGAGCCAGCAGCAGCGGTGGAGTAGGCTGAACCCGGCAGTGGAGGAGGAGGCGGCCCCGGGGTTGCCATCAGAGGAGGAGGCAGGGCCCAACGACGGGGGAGGGGGGCGGGCCCGGTGACGGAGAGGAGGCGGGGCTCATCACCGACGGTGGAGGAAGATGGGACCGGACAGGTAAGGAGTGTGACTAGCTCATCTGAGGGTGACCCTGCAAAGCCCACCTTAGAGAGTCTATGGTGGGCTCTGCAGGGTCATCCTCAAGTGGGCTGTGTGGGATCTCAATTGGGCTCTGCAAGAGGTGTAACTAGAGATCAAAGGGGCCCCATACAAAATTTGGCTATGGGGCCCTGTGATTTCTAGTTACGCCGCTGATTAGCACCCCTCTTTTCATCTCCATAACATGGAGGGGGGGTGTTCTGTAGTCCAGCAGGGAGAACTCAGACAGGGCTAATAACACTGCTTTGGATTTCAGAGCATCAGACGCAGTGTCATCACCTCAAACAGGAAGTTAGGGGCTTAATGGATTTCCGTCAGATCACTAGATATTTTTCTGTTCTTGCAGAACTTGCTGTACTTTTTTAAAGTGACAAAACATGGGGAAATGTATATATACAGGTGAAACTCGAATAATTAGAATATCGTGCAAAAGTAATTGCAGTAAGTGCTGCAAAAGGGGCCCAAACCAAGTACTGAGTACATATGCATGCTTGTACTTTTCAGAGGTCCGATATTGTTCTATGTACAATCCTTGTTTTATTGATTGCATGTAATAATCGACTTTTTTGAGGTTGTGGATTTGGGGTTCTTGGGGTTTTCATGAGCTGTAAGCCATAATCATCACAATTATGACAAATCACGGCTTGAACTATCTTGCATTGCATGTAATGAGTCTCTCTCATATATTAGTTTCACCTTTTAAGTTGCATTAGTGAAATAAATGAACTTTGCACGATATTTTTATTATTCGAGTTTCACCTGTATAATAGTAAATAAACAGTCATCTTAGAGAGGAGGTGGGGGCTCAGTGCTGGTCCCTACAGTAATGTCCATATATGGAACTTCAAACTCTGATGGAACTACAGCCAATATTAACACAAATAAAAAGGGTGCTTTTAACCCCTTCGCGACTGATGACAGGATTATCCCATCACGATCGTTCAGTTCGTTAACAACCGGTGACGGGATAATTCCATCAATCGGTACAATAAGCAAATTAAAGCTAATTTTGTCCTTAAAAAAACGGTATATAATATGTTCAGGTGCAATGCATGAAGAAGATATACATAGCAAAAATGGCAAAATTGCTCCAGTTCCCAGAAGCAAAAAATGTTTTTGAAGCTGTGTCACTAAGGGGTAATTAACGACCGCTGATGGGATAATCCTAGCATGCGGTAAAATGAGCGCTGATCCGTTGAGGGACCAGCGTTCATTGAGTTACTGCTGTTGCTGGGTCCCTTGGGGTCAGAGGCCGACCCTCAACAGATTAGGTGGTCCCAGCCCTGTGATCACTTGGATAAGCAATCCTGTGATAACAGAGTCGTGACAGTCACATAGCTGACAGCCGGTCACTGTGTTGTGCAGCTGCGAGCCGCTTGTGTGTTACAAACTGATACAAAGGATCTCTGAAGAGAATACTGTATTCTCCTCAGTGCTACTAAGTATCAAAGCCCCTGTAAATAAAAAAAACTAACCCCTTTGTGCCCCCTAGTTTTAAAAAATAATAAAAGGTAAAAAAAATGTTTTTTACATTTTTTTAAAATTAAAAAAAAGGGGGGAAAAATACATTTTAATAAAAAATGATAAGAAAAGTGCCAAGGAGGCTATTAAAGATAGGAGACAAAGATACCACATTCTAAAATTGTTCCAAACTAAAATTGTATTTCACTCTTTGTATTTTGTGACTCATATGATATACCCCCATAAATCAGGACAAATAAACGAATATATTATGAATTACTTTCTGTTAGCTACAGTAATTATGTACACATTATTATTGCTAAAGCTGTGAAAAATTAGTTTCTTTAATTTTTTTGTCATGTTTTTGTATTTTTTATAAAACATCAAAAATTAAATTAAAAAATTGTATATAATATGTGTAGGTGCAATGCATGGGGAAGATGTAAATTATGGTTAAACACATAGCAAAAATTGCAAAATTGCTTTGATCCCCTGGAATTAAAACATTTTCTGAAGCTGTGTTACCAAGGGGTTATTCCGTAATGGTGCCACTGATCAGAACGGGAGCAAGGGCAATCTTAAAAATAAATTCAAGTGCCTTAACTAATAGCAAAAATGTATCTTATTTGTGTATCACTCGGCTGTAAATCCTCAAATTATCTCTGAATTGGTGCTGACACGGTCCTTCCTTCTGGAGGGGGGCTTCTTTTGTTCCCCATGGTCCCTGTGTGTGTTGTAAAGTAGTCACCGCTCCAAGCGTGCTCCGTGATGGACTACAATCTCAATACAAATAAGTAAACTAAACCTGAGATTGCAGTCCATCACTGGAATGAGCTTGGAGAGGTGACTACTTTACAACACACACAGGGACCATGGGGAATAAAAGTAGCCCCCCTCCAGAAGGAAGGACAGTGTCAGCACCAATTCAGAGATGATTGGAGGATCTACAACCGAGTGATACACGAATAAGATACATTTGTGTTAATAGTTAAGGTTCCTGAATGTATTTTAAGATTTAACTCCTGAGGTTAGTGTCACTTTAACCTACTGTATGTAATATTTTGTCCCATAGTAACTTTTGTCCCATACCTTGAGATGCATCTCTTCAACTTGCAACTTCTCACACATTTCTTTGAAGCTTTGCAGTTTGGTGACATCCAGGAGAAGGTAGACAAACACGTTCCTTTTATTGGCCGCCTCCAGAATGTCGCAGAATATTTCCACATCTGTGAACTCGTCCATCATTATAGCCAGAACCTGAACATAAGAGTATCATCAGTAAATATACAGTACAAAACAAAAGACATACCTTGCTTACAAGAGTTTGAACTCTTCAGCACCAAGGTTAAAGGATATTGAAACCTAAGGACAAAAATGTAATATATTGTGTGTGTTTCCTCCGGGTACTCCGGTTTCCTTTCATACTCCAAAGTCATGCTGGAAGGTTAATTGGCTCCTGTCTAAATTGGCCCTCATATGTATGTGAGATTGGGACCTTAGATTGTAAACTCCTTGAGGGCAGGGTCAGATGTCAAGGTGTGCTGCGTAAATTGTCAGTGCTATATAAATACCTATAATAAATGGGGGGGGGTTCCAAAACATTTTCTGCAAGTACAGAAAAATACCGGATACAAGTGTCCTTGTAACTTCCTGTGCTGATACTTTAAAACAACAGAGGGCATGTATCAATTCTGTGGCATGGCAAAGCAATGCTAAGTAGGGGCAGTGAGACACTCTGGAAGATATTTATTACAAATCATACATTTCTTCCTCAGTTAATCTAAAGTCACATTGTAAAATAATAAAATCTGCCCCTGGCCACTTAATTATGCATCCATTAAATCTGTCGCATCTTCAGTAATAAACCCGTCTCAGAACTTTGCAAACTGTTCCAATTGGCTGTCCAGGAAAACAGACACACAGGACTGTAAACCTGTAGCAGAGACTTTGCAGCCTGATTTGTGATTATTTATGTTGCTAATTTGCTTAATGAATGTTTCTCGTGTCTTTTGATTTCGCAGCTATCTTTTGTGAATTACAATACACTTCCTCCTGATGTAATGGAGATGAGGAAAGAAGATAATGTTTGTAGTCCAAATCAGGAAAGAAGCCCAGGGTGACAACCCTGCTCTTCCATGGATACAGTACAGTAGCATTGTCACCCTAGAACAGGAAGTGTGTTACTGACTAGATTACCAGGTGAAAATAAAGGGGAAATGCATAAAAATAAAATATATTAAAATATATATATATCTATATATAGATCTATACAGTATATTATATAGATCTATATATAGATCTATATAATATATCTATATATTTATATATATAT